ACAAGTGTGAGACGAGAAATGCTATTTTATACCTAGCTTCTTAGAAAATGATTTGCATTAAATACTTAACATAGTTAGACACCTTAAATGGACACATCTTGAGTATGTACGTATTATGATTGGATGGTATAGAAGCATCCTGTTTTGATCCTCATTGTCGCACTCGGCAGTCAAATTGAATGACTGTATGACTGTTGAACTTCTTGCAAGAAAATAAATATTCAAAAGACTTTTGTCTCATACCTTTATTGAAATAGAACATTTCCACGACACTATGTGTTAGCTATCTCTTTTAAATAGCTAAATAAAATAACATTTAAACTAAAGTCACCCGGAGGTTTTGCAAGCCCTTTTAGCCGTGAATAGAGCACAGCACCTTGTACCCTATTGCATAAGTATATCTTATGCATAGCATTGGTGAGTGCTTAGCATTGGTCATTTTAAGAGAGCAGAGACCAAACCTGGGAAGGAATTCTTGTGGGAACATCACTTTGTCAAAAAAATCCCATGAAGGTACGAGAAGTGGTGGTGTGCAGCTACTTCAAATAATCTGACAGAGTTTCTGTGGGACACATTCCAGAACCGTATCAAAGCACAAGGTGGGGGGCTGCGGGTCCTTTCATGACTGAACTATGATGTTTTAGCATTTGTGCGCTCTCATAACTCAGAATTTACATCTGTTTAAAGATATAGGTCAATATAGGGAAAATTCAATCATTTTACTTCTGTAGTCTAGAAATCTCTAAGACACTTGAGTTTTGAATTCTCCTCCAATTCCATGTTAGCATTCAGAAAGAACTGTGAGGTTGTCAACTTTACATGAGCACAAAATATCAATCTGACTTGTGTTTACATTTAGACATTTAGTTTACTTTTTTTGTGGTTGCAGGTACAAGAGTGGATGATTCGATTTAAAAAAAAAATTTTTTATTTTTATTTTTGCATTTAATGGCTTAAATTGTCAAAAGATATAGGTTATAAGTCAGCCTTGCCCTAAATAGGCAGCATCATAGACGTAGTTAACATAAAATGGAATATTTCACACAATATTTGTGTGTGTCCTATATAATAATAATAATAATTCATTACATTTATATAGCGCTTTTCTAAGCACTCAAAGCACTTTACATTGTGAGGGGGAATCTCCTCATCCACCACCATATCAATTAGAGTATTATCTTAGCAACATTAGATTCAAGGATCCATTTCAGGTGTTTATTAAGACAAGTGACCGGAAGGCAGCTCACTAGGTTTTTGAACAGAAACGTTACACTCCCTTTTAATATGCCAGTGAAGAGAAGAGCCCAGGCTTTATAAATTATCATAAGCAAATCTATCATTCTAGTTGTGCCTTACCATCCCACACAAAGGCTAGCAGCAATTTTATCAGAAAACACAACAGCAACATCTTTCAAGACTGTGGAAAAGTTACGTGCATGTTTTAAGAATACCCTCATTCTGCTCCCCTCAGGGCTTTTTTTTTTTTTTTTTTTGAGGGAGATCCTGCTGAGTTTCTCGAGAAGCACTTTCACCCTCTGAGCACATTTGCATACAAAGTGAAGAAAAAAACAACACAATTCACTCTAATTGCCTGCTCTTTCTCACTGGGGTTAATGCAGAACCTCAGGGGTTCAACAGATCCTCTCTTGAAACGTTCACCCTCTCACTCTATAGACTAGCTTTCATATTTACTGCCAGCATCTGCCATCCACAAACCGGCTACTCCTTGTAACTCAATCAGACTGCCGGGATGTTTGCTTCGGAGTCAATAAGTAATATGATTGCATCAGAGATATTTTCAGCATGTCCTTTTCTGAAAACATCTCTCTTTGTTTTTTGTGTCCTCTCAAACTGCCACATTGTGAAGTAATTTTGACCAACATACAATCTATGGTTTGAATAATCAGGATTACTTGAAAACAAGATATCAAAATTAAATGACCATTGTAATACCACAGCGTTCTTTAGAATACTATGCTATATGAATGTGGTAATAATTGAGTGCCTTTTTTTCAAATTTATGCCTTCTGTTGTCTGATTGATAGTTACTTTTTAGCAAGTAAAAGGCCTTTTAGCACAATTGTAAAAATGTCCACCTTTAGGTTGTCTTTTTGCTGAAATCTTAACTTGAATAACTTTTATATTTTAGCAATATTTCAAGATGAACATTTACTAGACTGAATTTATATTTCCTTGATTATAAATGCATTGTGTGTGTGAAAATCATGTCAAAATCTGAGTATCAGCTATGATATGTCAGGCTTTTGAGGTATGGCTTTTTGCGGATCTATCAATCATCATTGTATTGCATTACATTATATGTTTTGACTGTCTCAATAAATACTACAGAGCTTTGACCATAAGACTAACCATTTAAATATGATTTTATTAAATATATTGGGAGATATTGAATGTCAACTGAAATTTTTTTTACTGTTATTTCATGTCAGGCTTTACAGGGTTAATATTGTAATATACTGTAATGCATTAATATTGTAATGCATGTTTTAAGGGGTAAAATATTTTAAAATTAGAAACATCCACAAATATCCACAAATGAATGGCCTGTTTATTGAATTGATCAGCCCTCTGTTTCTTCAAAGGCATTGTATGAAAAGTCACGCTGCATGTACAGTTCTACAGCCCTGCTGTGCTCAGTCACCCTTCTGAACGCCTCCTACAGGGCGCACATGGATGCCTCCTCTGTGTTGGACTAACAGTGCAGTAGAGCTCAATACCTCCACAGGAGACATGGCCACCTGGCTACATGCTTCTCTCTCCATGTTTCTGCTTCACAATTAGTCTTCTAGGCTCCCTGGATAAAGGGGCTCATCCTACTCTTTGCCTCTTCCTTGTACTCCCACTGTGCATCAATAGCGAAGGAACTGGGACTTCAGATTCCTCCACAGAAAGTCTGTATATCAGCTCAAACAATAAAACGCTTTGGGGCGCATTTTCCTTTGTTAGTGTTTCCAACAGAATGTGTCAGCATTTTGTCTATGTATGAAAAAATATTTTGACATATATTTGAAACAAATTGCATAGATTGATTATTAGTTTGAACAGTGATTGGCCAATCTAAGGTCTAAGGTGGTTCTTGGCCAAAATAACTAGCAAAATGGACAACATTTATTGGTGATAGTCAAAACAGAATGTTCTATGAATATTCGAAACATAGTTTTGTTTTTAATGTTTCAAAAAACATTTTCTGGGTTATACAAATGTTAAGGGAACATTCAATTGTACCATTTTGCACACATTATGAGAATGTTACTGTTTAATGTTCTCTGAACGTTCTGAAACAAATACTAATATTTACAAAACGGTATAGACAATCAATCAGCTGAAACATTTCAGGAAAAAAAGTTCCATGAATTACATATAAAAAAAAATTTGTGCTATCATTTTGAGAACATAATTAGAAACCAGATAGATAACTTTATACTAAAGTTCTATTCATGGTATTGAAATAACTTTTAGGAAACCGGAATGTTAGCCTGGGAAGTTCTGAGAACATTCCCTGTTAACTGGGAACTGGCCAAAACAACTTTCTGTAACCACCATGTTGGGGTGAAGTCAGGTAAATTGGGACACTCTTTGCCATTGAGATGACTGGGGGAAAAATGTCCCTATTTACCTGAATTAACCCCTATTACAAATCAGAATGTCAAAGTTAATGTAAAATCACACAGGGGAAAATACAGATCATTTCATGTGTTTTTACTATATGGCTGTCTGGTAAAAGAATAAAAATACTAGGAATCAAAGGTGAGAGTCAAACCTCTACTGATTGATAAAGTGCACCTGACTATGAGGGGTGTTACACAAGCGGAGAACATAATGTTTGTTTAGTCTATGTTTGTTTTGGGCCATTCCAACATTTTATCTATGTCTAGTTCACCATTACCAAACTACACTGTGCTGGAAAGAATAATTCCCATAAGTCCAACATAACAGTGTGACTAAATATACATGTTTGCATTCAAAAAGCCACCCTTTCTCTCCCTTGATTTCTTTTATGTATCATGCCCATGAGCATTAGTTCTGTTTGTGATATGTAAAATGTAATATCCAATGACAAAATCAACGACTAATTTTTTTATACAAAACATTTTGAACTAGAAAAGAGTTTTCCGTTTCAGCAAACTGTTAGGCTATTAAAAATCACAAAGGACTGGAAAGGTCATGGAAATGTATTTATAGGTCCTTTTTTTCCCCGGAGGTCCTTTATTATCAATATTAATATAATTGTATTTTAGAACTTGTAATCTAACTTATATGGTCAAAGATTTTCCGAAAACCTTAAGAAACGTAGGCCTGGTAACACACATGATACTTAAATAATGCATTCAACTTTCATTAAACAACAGAAGATGTCACATAAAGCCCAAATATACGTAACCAATAACAAAAGCTATTAAAAAACATGATTATTTAAACAAAATACTTTCAAATGTGGAGTGTCATGCAGGGAATTCTGGGAATATCAGTTTACAGTTTTTGACTGTAAATTATACATTGATTTGTGATTTGTACTTCTAAAAACTGTAAAATGAACAGCATTTTACTGTAAAATTACATGAACTATCTGGTTAGATATTTTACAGTTTTTCCCTGTATATAGTACGGGAACTTACTGTTAACCTATTAACCGTTTTATTCCGTAGCGTTTTTACAAAATTTTACAGTTAAAATTACACTTATTTTTTTACAGTGTACCTATGTGTAAGTATAGGTAAAAAAACAAAAACAAAAAAAACACACAATTTCGAGGATCGTCTACCTTTTGTTTGTTTTTCTTTCTTTGAAAACCTTCAACAGTGGAGTCGGAGCCCCTCAAGCCCCCCTTAGTTCACAATATGACAATACTGACAGGTTTATATGTCACTACTGGGATGAATATGAGCCACATAATTCCCTGCTCTTAATCCGCTTTTATCCTGACGGTCTCTAACGATGTAAAACGTACGAATGAATAACAGTGTGTTAAAAAAGCGTACCTGTACCACTCGAGTCCTTTCTCGTAGTTGCGATCAAAAAAGTGCGGCTCCGCTCCCACCGCGCGGATATCAGGATGGAGGCGCAGAAACTCGAGCAGCGCGCGCGTCCCTCCCTTCTTCACCCCTATTATAATCGCTTGGGGCAACTTTTTGGTCTCGTTCAGGGCACCTGCTACTCCCGAGTCCTCGTCATAAACAACATCGCCCTTATTTTCCTCCCAGCCGTCTCCTTTGCTGTCAGCATCACTCTCGTTGTTTAGTAAGTCCCTGGACTGGCTTTTGAGGAACATCTCCGGGTCTTGTTTCTGGAGGGGTCTGGGTGGATTCCTGCTGCTCCTTTCTTCCATCATGAAGGTCGGTGTGGTGGAGCAGTAGCCCACACAGCAGTACAGCATGTACACCCACAGTGACAGCATGATGCAGAAGACGAAAAGTTTGTTTTTCACCGGCTGAGTAGAGTGACAGTGCGGACTATATTCCATAGGACTCTCCTGTGTGTAATGTCAATGTCCTGTAGGGCATATTGGCAAAGTTACTTGCTCCTCCGCATAGGTCCCTGTAACATGCAGGCATCTCCGCGGGAGAGGAAAAATAGGAGCATGAGTCCCCGGCAGATGTTGAATTCATTTCATTTTGGTGTCTGGACGGTTCCGGAGATGTAGGAAGTCACAGTTGTTATACTGGCACGAGTGCGTCTTTGCGCATCACTCCGTCGCCTCCCACTGGTTCATGTCATCTGAGTGAACGACGGGCAATGCATTTAAAGAAGAGGGGCGTGTGATTGGGGGATTGGCCAATCGGAATACATGCCCAAGCCCTGAAGGCTTAAGTAGCCTATTATTTTTGAATCTTTTTTTTTTCTTCTTCTTCTTCTTTTCTCAAAGTGGATTTTATTTTGAAAACAACTGTCACTTCTTTAATAAGCAGGAACCTGGCACATGCTTGTGACAGCTTACCCCAATACAAAATGTGAAAAAGTGCTTGAAGAAAAAGATTGTAATTTAACAGGGCTTTCACCTACAAAACAGTTCAAAAGTTTGGGGTCGGTAAATTAATTTTTTTATGATTTTGAATGTGAGTTTGGCCTCAGGTCAGGGGCCTTGGACCTCCAGCACCTGTACCATTCTAGATTATCAGGATTACGCCAGAGCTGCCATGCCAGTCCACTAATCACTTTATCTCATCTAGCACACGGTGTGTATGTGTGTGAGATGACTGTATCTGCACTTCCTGCATGCACTGCTGTCTGCAAAACACATTTGCTTCCTGTCAGGACAACCCCTCCACAAATAAAAAGTGACAAAACAAACACTTACATCTGTAATAAACACAAGCATAACAGATACAAAAATATTTTTTTAAGTTGTAAATAAAATATTATTTCAGTCTTTCTACTGCAAAATGTCATGTTACTTGCGGTTTCTTTCCATTTAATTGTGAAATATGCTAGTTATTTCTGAAATAGTTTCTACACCATTTTTTTCTCTGTGTGTTCATTTACAGTACATTTACAGTTAAGTGAGGACTGTGAAGTGGATCTAATGACAGTGTTCATTTCCAGGAAAGGAGTACAAGATCAGGACTGATGTGAAATGCTTGATTCAGGTCAGTAAATCCATTTATGCAATTCTGGCTTTGATACAAGACCCAGAATTTACACTGAACATTTAGTGGCAACCCAACACAGAGCTCAATTTTATTTAAAAATTGTCTCTAAAATCAAACATTGAAGTGTATTCATTTTTTACAAAGAACTAATATCAGACAATGTGAAAAAATATTATTTCCAAAATGTTTTTTTTTTTTTTGCAGTGATGTCAGAGAAGAACCATTTTTGGTTCCTCAAAGAACCTTTCAGTGAACAGTTCTTAAAGGAGACATATTATGCCCCTTTTAACAATATGTAATATAAGTCTCTGGTGTCCCCAGAATGTGTCTGTGAAATTTCAGCTCAAAATACCCCATCATTTATTATATCATTTTGAAAATGCCTATTTTGAGTGGAAGCAGAAACACGCTGTTTTTCGGGCCTGTGTCTTTAAATGCAAATGAGCTGCTGCTCCCCGCCCCCTTTTCCAGAATAGAGCTGCGCCATTACAACTAGGACCTGCTAAAAACATCTGTTTTGGTTCTGATTATCATGTTTATCGCGCTGAAATCATGCGTTTTGAACCATATTAGTTTAAACTTCTGATATATGGTTTTCTGAGAGCACACATCTGAAGCACACGGACAGAAAGCGGCTGTCACAGCATGTTTAGAGTACTAAACTAAGTTCTCATTCACACACATGTTTACGTTAAAAACACACATGAGTTACAAAAAACAGTCAGTTATGTCTGTGAAGGTAAACAGCTGGGAAATAAATCACATGTTTATTTTAGATCTGTGTGGCAGCAGCAGTAAATAAATCAATAAATCCTCTGCTCTATTGTCTCCTCTGAGGCTGGGACTATAGTGTTCAGTGCTCGTCTGTGCAGCCAAAGACAGAACAGTTAGCATGTTTTGCTCAAACTTTCGTCATGGCATTAGAACTAGTTACACCGTTGTCGCTTGTGAAAACACAATAAAGGCGCCGTGGGTGTAAATTTACAGATTAAGGGGTCTCATTATAATGAGAGCCCCGTGCCACGTCACCAAGGGAGCAAAATCAGACGCGCTCGTTTTCTCAGACGCTTGCAGAAAAAGGCTTACCAAAACAAAGTTACTAGGTTAATCTTTTTCACATTTCCTTGGTTGGTAGATGCACCGGGGTCCTGATTATAGCACTTAAAACCTGGAAAAGTCAGATTTTCATGATATGTTACGTTTAAAAGACTAAAGGTTCTTTATTGGTATCTATCTATATAAAACTTTCCATTGGACAAAAGCTTCATTTGATTATTAAATTGTTCTTCACACTATAAAAAAAAAAACGTTTATTCAATTCATTGAAAAGTTCTTTGAGGAAGCCACATTTTTTCTTCTATGGCATTACTGGAGGAAAAAAACAACTTTTGAAACCTTTATTTTCTTTTTGAGTTCTTTTACCTGCATAGTTTTGTTCATGGTTTTTGAGGAAAGATGTCAAGCAATTTGTTCATGTTGGCACAGATTCTACCAAGTGCCTTAATACTCCAAGTTTGATCGGACATGTGGTAATAAAACATATGGAAAATGTTTTCTCCACCATTTTAAAAGTTGAAAAGCCTTTTTATTTTGCCAATAAAACTATGCTGGAACACGTAAGTTTAACTCTACTTTCACATTTAGTGTTGTTTTTCCATGCTGTCCATGACCCTACCAGAACAGATCTGCTATTGTCATATAGTTACTTTTTTATGTTCTGATAATTCTATTACATGCTGAAGAGTTTGACAACGTGGTAAAAATGCACACAAGGACATAGAGCAGCAGACAAAAGAAAAAAGTCATATATTCTGTGTTAGCGGTTTGTTCTTTGTGAGCACCTCCTTTTGATTTGATCGTGTGACTAGAAGGGAAGGACACCGTGGTGGGAACAAAAGACACCTGAGGGGTGGGAGTGCAGAGATCTAGACCATAGACTGCTCCAGCATCCGGGAGACCCTATGGGCAGATCAGTTTGTTCCGTTATGCTTCATGATGCATAGACACACACACACACACCAGCCGCCTGTGTGTTTTCAGAGAGATTTAGGAACTGTTCGGCTGACACATCAAAGGATTCGTGGTCTTGTTCATCTCCCTCAATGGAATATCTGTAACTGTACCATGTTAACGTGATCCTCTGGTCTGTCATTAAATCACATACTAAAATCATTTCTACACCATTTGCAATGCCCTTCTATCATTTATGGCCAAAACACTGCATGCATATTATTGTCTGACTGCCGCCGGCAAGCCTTGCATGAAAATAATGTACTTAAGTGTTTCCACCCTTTTTGACCATTGAATTTCCATAACTTTTCCATTGTCATTCCACTGCCTTTACAGTCATTTGCGATTTAAGATTTGAATTTGAACTTCACAAATCATTCTGAATGGTTCACAAAACAAATCAGACATTCCTTTGATGAGCGATATTTTAGAGCTGAGCATAACTAGAAAAATGAACATCATCCACACAAATTTTATTAATTTATTATTTTCATTATTTATTCTACAAATTTTATTCATTTTATGAATCATAGAAAAAATTCATTTAAAATCCCCTAAGTTTTTAATGTCAGTGGAAATTTCCTTACTTTTAAATGATACTCTTTGATATTTGATCTATAGCTTTCTCATGTCCTGTCTTGATCATTTTCCTTCATTGTCATAATGTGTCTCTGACAACATCTGAGGCATTTTACATGTTTAATTTACCCATTTATATCAGTAAATTCTTACAGCATTATGAGTGACTCAGAACAGATGACAGCAAAGCAGTTTGTGCCCTCATTAGCTGCCGTCTTCAGCAGGAGCACAAACAGCACAACAGGAAGAGCAGATTCCATTGACGCTAATGACAGGGTCATTAACTATGCAGAAAAGCAGATCAACGCACTGCTCAGGGTCCTTAAGTCACGCTCCAGAGTAATTTGCTCAGGCTAAGACTATTTTAAATGTCTATAAATTCCCACCGGCACTGCTGAACTTCTGTCTTATCTCCTTCTCTGAGGTCCAAGTCCGCTTGGATTTCAGGGCATTATCCTTTAGTAACAGCTTCATCCAGCTATTCTGTCCTTATGTTGACACTGGCAAATGTTATAAAGCAAAAGGCCACTTAATCATTTAAGCTTAGAGGATCTTCAGCAGGATTGTGTGTTCAGTGTCTCTGACCTCTGACTTCTGCCCTGGTTCTCTTTCTCAGAGACTCTACGACGACTCTATCAGCCCTGATGATCCACATCTCCATAAACACTATAATGCAAAACAATAATACACAGATAGATAGACAGACAGACAGACAGACAGACAGACAGAAAGAGCGATCTATAAACAGACAGACTGAGCAATCTACAGATGATAGAACAATCTATAGACACTTAATCATTTAAGCTTAGAGGATCTTCAGCAGGATTGTGTGTTCAGTGTCTCTGACCTCTGACTTCTGCCCTGGTTCTCTTTCTCAGAGACTCTACGACGACTCTATCAGCCCTGATGATCCACATCTCCATAAACACTATAATGCAAAACAATAATACACAGATAGATAGACAGACAGACAGACAGACAGAAAGAGCGATCTATAAACAGACAGACTGAGCAATCTACAGATGATAGAACAATCTATAGACATACAATACAGACAGACAGACAGACAGACAGACAGACATACAATACAGACAGACAGACGGACGGACGGACGGACGGACGGACGGACGGATGGATGGATGGATGGATTGACAGACAGACAGACAGGAGCAATCTGATTTTTAGCAATTGCTAAAATGTATAGACAGACAATATAGACAGATAGATAGAAAGATAGATAGACACAGATAATTTGGTTGTCAAAACAATCACTTGGACTTTTACATGTTGTCCGCCCTAATGGATGGATGGATGGATGGATGGATGGATGGATGGATGGATTGACAGACAGACAGACAGGAGCAATCTGATTTTTAGCAATTGCTAAAATGTATAGACAGACAATATAGACAGATAGATAGAAAGATAGATAGACACAGATAATTTGGTTGTCAAAACAACATAATCTGCAGCAGGAGTTAGAAGGTTTTTTTGTTGTTGTCAACTTCAGGTTTACAGTACAATGGACCACAATCAGTCTCAAAAACCACTGTGAAGTCCAAATGAAATTCATCTACTTGATGTGAC